TGCTAAGTTTCGCTTTGCACCCGACAACCAATGGTGTGACTGGTTTTAGGTTTTACAGCAGATAAGTAATTTTTGTAGGAGCAAGAAGAACCTTGGGAGTACAAGCACATTTTTCATTCTTGGTCATTCTATGCGAATATACTACATCAGGATTGGTGTTGGCCTGACCGCCTACAAGATTGCCTTTGTTGCTGTCATGACCCTGTGCATCTACTTATTATCATACAATGCACCGGGAGTTTAATATCCTCAAACACTCAAGTAGCTATTTATTTGTATTTTAAAGCACGAAACATAGGGACAAAAATGTTGTGACCAAAACGATTACTTTTTTTTAGAAAGGTTTATTGCAGCCGTCATTTTAAAATCTCATGCTGACTGACGGAAGGTACAGCACGAACTAATGCCAATGATTATTTTAATAATGGAGTCAAAATTCAAGTACAAACAAAATAGTATTCCCCTGGAATAATGCTAAGATAATATAAATCTGTGTACTGAACTGAAATCTTCGTTGAAGTTTGGAAAAATTCAGTAAAACTGGAAATCGTTATTAAGTTTATACAACGTCCATCAATATACATGTAAAGTTTATAATGATGCAGATGAGCACCTCGACGATAGATATGCCTCCTTAAATTATATAATCCAACTCGTTAAGTGTATTCACAAGCTTCAAATACTCGACTGCTAAAGCTAATTTAGCTTTAAAAGTAAACTTCATTGCCTCTGCCCTCCAAGATTTAGATTTTTATACAGAGGTGGTGAGCAAGCGACGGATTTGACATACAAAAATTCAACCTAGTTCCGCCATACACCCAACCAAGTCTTGAATTTGGGGAACCAAATCTCGATCAAAGATGCAAGCAACTCGTCAGAATATCGCAGTTCCCACAATTTTATTTTTAGAAAATCACTGGGACGTATAGGGGTCACATCAACATTCATAAATTGCTACGTTTTCATTGGTCCAATAAATCATTAAATCATTGGTCCAATAAAGCTTGGTCTTGGGTTTGGGCTAGTTGGTTGTACATTGATAGACGTGCTGCGCTGCGAAGTTCTACAGAACAAACGCGTGACCAAAAATTGAAAGGAAAAGGATGTAATTCATCATTTTCCTTTCAATTTTTGGTCACCCGTTTGTTCTGTACAACTTCGCAGCGCAGCACGTCTGTCATTGGTCCAATGTTGGCAAAACTTCTTTGGTCACATCTTCGCGCAAATATCGGACAGCGATCACACCGCTGTTTTTAGCTGTTTAGTTGCACTTAAAAGCACCAAACTTGACAACAAGAAGGGGAGAAGGGTCATTTGTTTTGTTTGAAATACGTTTATTAGAAGAGCCGCTTTTGCACCGAACTAATTCATAAAGTACATATTTAAAAAAAAAAAAGAAACATCGGTTAATTTATTGAAATAATGCTACAATAGCATAATTTTGAGAAAATGTAATGTTTTGTTTAAGTTAAAAGGTTCCAATAGAAATGCGCAATTTCAAGCTTAGCTAAAATAAATCTTTTTGTCATCTAATAAGGCATATCAGAAGCATTTTACACGCAGGCTTTCATGATGATTATTTATCGGAATGCGGCTGATAAACATGTTTTCTTCACGACCAAAAAAAAAAAAAAATATCACGACCAATAATGCAGGCAACTCGTTCGAATATTGCAGTTTATATTGCATATTGCAGGTATTACTATAGCTGCGAATTTATTTTTTTTTTTTTTTTAATTTTGCAAGTATGGTAGAGATGTCACATCGGTATAAACTAAGATTTTTTTTCCTCAGTGTCCGACGCCCGCACGCGCACCATTTCACTCTGGAAGGATGTTTTTTCCTCAGCACCCGGTTGCGCTGCAGTAAAGCGAGATGCGCAGAATCATGATGCCTAATTCGCGGAAGGTGCATTATCACAGTGCACCAATGCATGGAAAAAAGTGCACTCAACGGTGCTAACTAACCGTCCTGAACGAAACTGAACGTATCACGAACGAGAAATAGTGTTGATCTTCCGAGCACTGTCGGTGTTTGATACGGAGATAAAATCAAATAAACCGATCTCATCAGCCAGTTTCGCTACGCCGCCGCTGCCGGCATGTATTGTGGGAACTGTGGTCCTTCTGCACGCGCGACAACCCCGCTCAGGGTCGACACGAGCAGAGAACAAGACAGCACGAGCTGTCTACTTCACTGTTGCTTTCCTCCTGAGAACTAAAATAATGTCGTCGGAAAGCATGCGTGGAACGCTCAGGGAGATCGGTCTATTGTGCGCTATTCGGAGCGATAACAAGATTAAGAACAAAACGAGCGTGTCGGTAACGGTAATTAGGCATGAGGAAGATACATAGAAAGGGGGGACGGACAACGAAGACTTCCAACTAGCCAACTAGCCTGGCTAGTTGGAAGTCTTCGTTGTCCGTCCCCCCTTTCTATGTATCTTCCTCATGCCTAATTACTGATAACAAGATCTTCCGAAAATTCGCACAAGCCCGCGGTAACCACCATGCAGTGGAGCGGTGCTGAAGTAATCTTGGGCGCAGTGTTGGCATAAACTCCTCATATCTTGTTAAACTATAGCAGGATGTAGAAATGTAAGCCCTTTGAACCATCTCTTGCACGTGACGTCAGTCCGCCCATCTTCCAGGTGGCCAGAAGCGAAGCTACATATACGCTCTCAGGCGCCCTTTTCCCCAAGTTCGACCCTCTTTCTGGTGGGAAGAAGCGTATCGTTAACGCAGCGAAAGGCACACCCTCTCACGCGCCCTGTCCCCTATTATGCCCGACCATGTGATGTCATTGCAATCTATGTATATATTGGATTTTTAGTGTTATGACCAGTGTGAGGTAGCTACATACGATACGACCAGGATGCCAAATAAAGTGTTATGAATGGACATTGCCTGCTTGCCGTTTCTTTGCCCGGTGCAAATCATGAACGGATATAGACCAACATTATCAAGTTAGTACGCGTTTGGCTCCACCAGGTGTGGGCACTGCGAGTGCGCAGAAACCAGAACCGGGAGAAGTGAAGCGTTTGCGCATGCGCAGTGCCCACAGCAGACAGCAGCGTTACCGCGGTGGCGTGACATGAGACTCAGAGATTCGAGTTTGTGTCGTTTGTGCTTGTGCGTAATTCAAAGAATGTTAGCGGCACCCAGCTATCGATTCAGAACTGCTTTAGGGTTATTACAGAAATTATGATGCTTAACGGAGTCGCCCTTAGCATTCGTGACACTGCTGCGTGCCCACCAAAACGCTACTCAGATATCAATGTGATTTTCCTAAAATTAAAAAAAAATTAAAGACGTTGAAACTCCCTGTAATGCCGAATTAGAGCGCAGCTCTTGAGGAGGAAGAGGAGGGGAGGGTACTGAGGGGAGGGTATCATCATCCTCCCTCCTCCGCTCATCCTTTAAGCTCCTCCCCTACTCTCTTCGTCCTCCTGCTCTCTTCTCCTCCTTCTCTCTCCTCCTCCCCTTCCACTCCCCCTTTCCTCCCATCCTCCCTCCTTCTCCCCTTCTCCTCTCCTCCCCCTAGTCCTCCTCCCCGCGCGGTGCATTATCGGACATTTCCCATACGGCACCGCGCGGTTACGCCGACGCCGCTCAAGCCGGAAACAAGCGCCTAAAAGCTGCGCTCTAAAAAAAACTACAAAAAAACTCAAATCTTTATTTATTTTTTGTCTTCTTTTTGGAGAGGGGGCACATAGAAAAAAATTGAGGAGGACGGGAGGCTACAGAGGAGAAGCGATACCTTTGTCGTGACCTTCACAAGTGACCGTGACGTCACGTCTGATAAAAAAAAAACTGCGCCGACTTTACTCAGCAAGATTAACAATTTAATCAATCAACGTTGGAGAACCTAACGTTTCGTCTCCTATGCGGGAAACATCATCAGTGAAACCTTAAAGCAGGAAATGGTTTCACTGATGATGTTTCCCGCATGGGAGACGAAACGTTAGGTTCTCCAACATTGATTGATTAAATTGTTAATCTTGTTAAGTAAAGTCGGCGCAGTTTTTTTGATCATTATGATTCCCGGCTTTTGGAATATTTTTGCATTCCGACGTCACGTGTGACGTCATTATGGGAAATGTCCCGTAATACAACGCGCGGTCACGAGTGAGACCCGCGCGTTGCATCATGGGACGTTCCCATAATGCAACGCGCGAAACCCTCGTGACGTCATGTGTGACGTCATTATGGGAAGCGTTTCATAATGCAACGCGCGGGTCACGAGTAAGACCCGCGCTTTGCATTATGGGACGTCCCCCATAATGCACCACGCAATTACGCCGACGGCGACGCCGCTGAAGCCGGAAACGGGCGCCTAGCAAAATTAGGTGGGGGAGGGTATTAGCCGTCCCCCACCTAATGTTTACATTGTACGCGTGGCCTGTCAGCTGGCATGCATTTTGCCTACCCGACCATATTAATAAAAATAAATTGCCGTTAATTATTGAGGATCGGCACAGTCCACGATAAGCGACCACGCCTCAAATTTGTAACATTCGGAAAATGCACAAAGGACATATATTTATGTACTGTTTCGCCGATCTCCCAGTTTTACCCGTTTATTTCCAAATTTTGGTGGGCGCTTACTCAGGATTCTACGGTAGACATAAAAATAAAGTCAATTTTGGCTTTGGGTGTTGGAAAACCCGTGCACCTCGTTGAACCATGACGCCGACAGCCGCAGATCGGATATCCATCCAAACCTTGACAAAAAGTGATACAAAAAAAAGAAAAAAAGATTGCAATAATTTTGGTGGTTTACAAGTCTTGAGAAACTGACGTTACAAATATGAAAATAAAGTTTATTGTTATTTTTCTTCGTTGGCGATGGAGTAGAGTGGAATAACGACGCGGTTTGCGACAATACGCGAAGAGTCTCTGCCTTATATTTCAGTGGCTAGATGGCGAAGGCTACCGTCCATTACACAAAGAGTACTCGTCCAGTCCTCGCTCCCAGAAGTCACTCATCCGTCCATAACAACGCCCTGCAGGGCGCGCGACTGATCATGCCGATCAGGCGGTGTTGCGATTGCGTTATCACCTGTTCGCCAGCTCGGCAGTGGCCCTTGACCTCGCAAATCCACTCAATGTCATGCGCTTCGTAGCCGCTGTTCGCGGTCACCGAGCTCCCCGGAAAGCCTGAGTCCGGCGGGCGCCATGCGGAGACGGAACAACTCCGGCGTGCGGCTGGACTACTACCACCGGCTCGTGTCGCACACCATCCTCAGGTTCCAGGACCCTGTGACCGGACTCATCCCGAGCCAAAAGTACGAGCAGCACGCCTGGGTTCGCGACAACGTCTACAGCATCCTCTCGGTATGGGCACTCTCGTTGGCTTACAAGAAGCAGGCCGAGCTCGACGAGGACCGGGCCCGCACGTACGAGCTGGAGCAGAGTTGCGTGAAGCTCATGCGTGGCCTGCTCGTGGCCATGATGAAACAGCGGGACAAGCTCGAGCGTTTCAAGGAGACTCTGAGCACACACGACTGCCTGCATGCCAAGTACAGCTCGTTGACGGGCGAGCCGTGCGTGGGCGACGCGGACTGGGGACACCTGCAGCTGGACGCCACGTCCCTGTACCTGCTGGTCCTGGCGCAGATGACGGCATCTGGGCTCCAGGTGGTCTTCAACCTGGACGAAGTGGCCTTCGTCCAGAACCTCGTGTTCTACATCGAGGCGGCCTACTGCACGCCGGACTACGGTATCTGGGAGCGCGGTGACAAGACTAACCACGGCCTGCCCGAGCTGAACGCTAGTTCTGTGGGCATGGCCAAGGCGGCACTCGAGGCGATGAACGAACTGGACCTCTTCGGCGGCCGCGGGGGTCCCTCGTCGGTTATCCACGTCCTCCCCGACGAGACGCAAAAGTGCGATGCCGTGCTGCATTCCATGCTTCCCCGCGAGTCCAACTCCAAGGAGGTGGACGCCGCGCTCATGTCGGTCATCGGCTTCCCAGCCTTCGCCGTCACCGACCCGGCCCTGATCGAACTGACACGGACCACCGTGGTAGACAAGCTGCAGGGCCAGTACGGTTGCAAGCGGTTCCTGCGGGACGGCTACAAGACAGCGCGGGAGGACCCGCAGCGACTGTACTATGAGCCCTGGGAGTTGCAGGCATTCGAGGGCATAGAGTGCGAGTGGCCCGTTTTTTTCTGCTACATGGTCGTGGACGCGTGCTTCAGGGGTGACAGCGAAGCCGTCGATGCATACAGCGAGATGCTCGAGCGGCTCGTGGTCACGACCGACGATGGGTTCAAGCTGGTACCCGAGATGTATGCTGTGCCCGAGGATTGTGTGGAGCTCGAGCGGGCCTCGCCTCATACCCAAACGCGCGTCCCCGTGGGCCAGCTGCCTTTCATGTGGGCACAGTCGTTGTATGTGATTGGGCGGCTGCTTCATGAAACCCTACTGGTGCCCGGAGAACTGGACCCCCTGAACAGGCGCCTCGGTGCTTTGCGGCGGCCCGAGGTAGTAGTACAGGTGGTGCTGCTCGCAGAGGACGCTTACGTGCAAGAACGACTCTCCGGACTGTGTCCACCCCTGCAGACCGTGGCTGAAGTGGGCCCTGTGGAGGTGCAACCCGCCCGAGTCCTCGGCCAGCTCTATTCCCACCTGGGCCAGAGCCGCAAGCTGGGCCTGTCTGGCCGAGCCTCCAAGGATGTGGGCCTGCTGGCCACCAGCAAGCTGTACCTGTTACAGGACCGCCTCTTCGCATTCACCCCACAAAACCTGGACAGCGAAGAATTCCACCTGGTCAACGACATCGACCTCTTTGCCAGCACCTTGCGGTCGGACATTGCCGTGCTGCGCTCCCACTGGCACATGCTCGGCCGCCCCACCGTGGTCGTGACGCTGCAGTCACGCCAGCTCGAGAGAGACCGGGTGCCACCTGCCCTGCGGCAGGCGCTGGTCAAGCTGGCCGGGGGCTACATTAATGGCACCCGGGTCGTTCTGGGCTGTCTGGCCGAATTCGTGAGCACCTCGTGCCTGGCCAGCCTCAGCTTCCTGGGCGACGGTGAGCAGGGCCGTCCGGACTGCCTGGACGCTCAAGTGCGCGACTACCTTGACCGGGAGATGCGCCGGGCCTTCCTCAATCGGCCCCTGCGGCCGGGAGCCCTGCGGCCAGGCCTGCCTGGCGCGAGGGCGCGTCGCTCCGGCGTGGCGGGCCTCATCCGGCGCTCGCGCTCCATTCAACTTGATGACGTCGTCATCCCTTTCGACGGGACCATCGCGCGGCGAGACTCCTCATCAGACGAAGAGCCCCAGAGCATCGTGAGAGCTGTGTCGGAGTTACGACTGGACCAGGCGACGGAGCGAGAGCTGCTGGCGACGTTGCGCGACACAGACTCCCTCGAAGAGCAGGGAGACATCCTGCACTACCTGGCGAGCCACAAGGGGCTGACTTGGGACACCGGTCTTGGGCAGCCGCACGCGGTGGTGACGGTCAAGGACCTGTTCCAGGACTTCTACGACCGGGCCTGCCAGGAGAAGCGCTGGGGCCTCGTGCGCCATTTTGCGGGTTCTCTCGGGAAGCGCGTCGAGGACCTGGCAAAGTCTGTCACGGACTTGCTGGTTCGCCAGAAGCAGGTGACTGTCGGCATGCCGCCCCACAGCGAGCACACCATCACACGGCCGCTGTCCACCCGCGAGTTGCGAGCCATCATCAACCGGGCCCACCGGGGTGACCAGAGCACGGCCATGCTGACCCAGGAGCTCCTAGTCTACCTTAGCATGTTCATCCACACCGACCCACAGCTCTTCGTCGAGATGCTCCGGCTGCGTGTCGGGCTCATCATCCAGGTGATGGCCTCCGAGCTGGCCCTCCGCTGCGCCCCTGAGAACGCCAGCGATCTACTGCTGAGCCTGAGCCCCTTCGAGATGAAGACGCTGCTCATGAACATCCTCAGTGGCAGGGAATTCACAGTCAAAAGTGCCACTTCGGGGGCCCTCTCGGTCACAGCCAGCTTTGTGAACAAGCGCAGCGCGGCGGGCACGTTCCTGCGGAGCGAGCAGGAGGATGAGTCTTCCAGAAACCGACAGGGACAGTGGCTGCGCCGGCGTCGCCTGGACGGGGCCCTCAACAGGGTACCAGGAGGCTTCTACCCACGCGTCTGGGCCGTGCTCGAGCGCTGCCCGGCCCTGCAGGTGCGCGGCCAAAGTTTGCTGGCATCGGTCACCCACGAGATGACCCCCGGGGAGCTCAAGTTTGCACTGCGGGTGGAGCAGCTGCTCAATTCGGTGCCGGAGCCAGAGTACCGGCAGCTCTTTGTCGAAGCCCTCATGGTGCTTGGGCTAGCCGTGGAGAATGCTCTGCCTGTCGGGCCAACGGATGTGGAGGCCCTTGTGCGTTCTGCCCACGAGCTCTTCCTCGAGGACCAGCGGCGCTGCCGTGGAAACTCGTCCCTTTGCTGCTGCAGTGGACGACCTGGAGGCACCTGGTGCCGGCCCACCGCGGGCCTCTGTCAGCACTTCTATGACAGTGCACCCAGCGGCTGCTTTGGTACCATGACCTACCTGGTGCGTGCTGTGGCTTCCTCTCTTCAGGACCTGTCCTGCATCCAGCTGGAATGTGCCACCTCCTAGGCTGTCATCTGCATTCTGCTACTACTAGATTTGTTTATGTAGTTCCTACTTACAGCCATTCGATTTCCTAGTGCTGTACCCTTGATGCAAGAGTGAGGGGCTGGTTCGAGACAACTAAGTTTGTTGCTGGATAAAGGGAAACAAAGTGTTGGGACGGTGTTAAGTGGCATCAATCTGCCGTTTTTATGACTGTTGCGACCACAATCTGCCATGGCTTCCTCTGTCTGGTACCTGCCCTGATTCCAGCTGGAATGATACGCCTACACTTTTGTTGGTGCTCATTGCCATCATACAGTGCTTGTTGAATGTTGTGGTGCCTGTTGACAGCAGCAGGTCTTTATTGCACATCATCGATAGAAGCTTCAGGGTACAAGTCAGTCCTACTGAGGGAAAAGAAATGGCAGGAGTGTGTTAGTACGCTGTCCTTCACTCGTGTTTGAACCGTCGTCTATCTGGCATGTGCCGTGGCATGCTGCTTTCTACTGGAACGCTCTGCCTCCCATACTGATATAGGCAGATGTTCCCCACTAGATTTATTTAATGTTGTGGTGCCTACTGACAGCCATGGGCCTGTTTTTTTTGTTGCAGATGGTTTATATTATATATGTGTGCGGGTGCAGGCCACCCAAGGACTATACTCCGTTTCACCTTCAGTCCGAGCGCAGCGGACGCTAGGAGCCATCCCAGCCAATCCAGCGGTGAGAGGGTGTGGTGTGACCTTGAGGTCCCTGCGTCGCTCTGCCCGACCAGCAGGTCCCACTATTTTCTCCCGGCGCTGGCTCGGCTGGGATAGCTTGTGGCGTCCACTACGCTCGGACTGAAGGTGGAATGGAGTATAGGAAAGTTGTTGAATGGTATGCAATCCACTGTGCCTAGTCATGTCCGGAACCAGGAAAGTCAGCCTCCGTGGCTTGTTGGTTAGATAGAAATGCACAATTCTAATGTTGGCCTTGCAGATAATTAGGAGTTTTCAATAACTTCAAAGGGAAGGAAGCATACGAGTTGCCCTGCCAGCCTGTCGGTCAAACCTGCCTGTTCTGAACAGGCTGGACGAGGAAAAGCTCGCAAACTAAAAGCTGCTTCGACCATGCTCCCAGTGACTTCCCTGTGAAGCGGCAGGCCGATTGCATGACAGGAGACACATGCAAGCTTGTAGGTGGTGCAGTACACACTCCAAAGATTCAGAACAGCTTGTCAGATGTCATTTGACCTCGTGATTCACTGAAGTGATGCACTTAGGTCAAGCCATCTTGCAGCAGCAAAAGGAGACTTTTGGAGCAGAGGCATGGACTCGGTTTTAATTGGTCTTACTGCAAATGAAGTCTTGGTCACATCCTTTGTTAAAAAAACAGTGAAGACAACCTCTGTTGCTTTGAAATGGATATGTCTTGTGACTGCAAGCAAGGCCAAGATGCCAAGTTATTTTTGTAGCTTTTTGTAAGAGCATTGTTTGTCACTGTGGTGTTTACAAAGACCAAAATGGCAAGAGGAGCAAAGTGTTCGAGTCATTCTCTTCGTGTACCATCAAGTCATTATCGTGGTAGAACTTTCTTTCACAGCAGGGAATGCAAGCCAGCACATTCTTCCATTGTGGTGATAAGCCTATCTCAGTGGCGTAGGCAGGGGAGTGGTTTGGGGGTCAAAAACACCCCCAAAATCATTTTATTTTTTATTTGTTCCAGTCAGTTGGTGGGTTGGGGACGGCCATGTCCGTACTCGTGAATTGCACAGTACATTGACTACTACATGCGGAGATGGGAGAACGCCCCTCGCCCCCCAAAAAAATTCCTGGCTACACCACTGGTAAATATAAAGCATTTTTGTGCCTGCAATTTCACGAGAGATGCGTCTGAAGCTGCCCATTTCGTCGTCGCCATATTTTGACCGAGTTGCCACAGCAGTTACCATTTACTTTTCAACTTTAAGGGGCATTGTTGCAAGTACTATGCTTAGTGGGCCCATTTCATTGGGTTCCAATGCTGGAGAACCTGTATCGGCAGCTGTGCAAGTAAACCACGATTACTGAGCACTGAAACGCAAACGTCCAAACCAATGTTGAAGGAACACTGGACTCCGGAAAATCTTATTTTTTAAAGTGCCTGAATAGGACACAGCTCACGAAATACGCTTTCTTTGAAGGATAGTTTTTGGATATTTGTTAGGAAGCTCGTTCAAGGTATTCGAAAACAAGCTTCTAAACCGGGTTCGACATCTTGAAATGGAGCATGTTTCATTCTTGCTGCAAACTCCAAATCTGCTGTGCAACATACATATTGAACTGAGTGTATGTTTATTTTGTGACATACCTGTCCTGTCCCAGCACTTTAAAAAAGTTAGGAAGTTCAGTGTAGGTTTCTTGACCTATGCCAGTGCAAATGTTTTCTCATTTAATACCACCAGCATAGCCAAGTACTAGTCTAATTCACTTGTCACCAAAACGGTATTCTTGTTAATAGAATCGGACACATTAACAAGGATGATGGAACAGGAGTGTTGCATTCCCCTTTCTTTAACCCTTATTGGTATTTAACAAGATAAAATGACATAACGGAGCTGAAATAAAAAAAAATATCTTAATGTAAACTTGCAAGTTATAGGTCTGTTACCTGTGGGCAACACCAGGCAAAAGTTCAAAAATTGTTCCTTGCGTAACCTCTGGTTCACTAAAATGTCGATAGTATCTGCGCATACGATAGCCTCTAATAAAACGGCCACCTATTGTAAAATATTAGTGGCAAGAGGAAACCGCTTATCCATAACTTTCGGCGTTCCACTGCTCTTGGCCGCCTCGTATTTGCGTGCCAAACTTTTTTCTTGATGACAATTTGCGTATCTTTTCACTAAATGGCGCCATAGTTTCGATCTTCCCAGAATGGCTCTGGATCTTCCAGAGCCGTACATGTAGTTTGGTCATGAATTGATAAGAATAGGGCAAAAATAAGGGCATGTCATTGGCCGAAATTGTTTCACTTGCCTTGGGCGTGATGATTGACAACACTTGTGACCAACCACTAGCCACAAATATTCCCCTAGCAGAGGCAATGGAATACCCTCCGATCACAATTGCTAGGTCAGGATGTGTTCAAGTATTTCATTTCAGCACACTAGATATGACGTTTGCGACTCTTTGTAACTGCAAGGGCAACGCACGTGACATAGTCACGGCAACATTCAGAACGCACTCAGTCTTTCTTTCGATTGCACTCGCGGCCGCGGCCACGACGAAGTGGACAGCAAGAAGTGTGGATTCGGCTGTGCTGGAGTTTTGACCCAAACCCCGAACGCGCACCCACATTCCCGGTTGCACCTCATGTTTCAGGAAATTTTTCTCGTCAGTGTCACCTTTCCTAGCTCAGTAAATGCGCTCAGCACCTTGAAACACTCCTTTTCCAACAATCTCTTACAATTATACATTCGTGTACTTTCAGCCTCGTCCAGAAACAAAAAATGCCTGCGCCACGCTACGCGTATCCTTTAAGGTCATCCCGGCTCATTCTTGCTTCACAAGTTCATCACGGGTCGATAAGTGGCACTGCCGGCAGCGTCGCGTTCGCTGTTCCACCCCGGCTCCTCCCATTGACCAGACTCTCTCTATAGACCATTCCACTAGGAGGAGCGGAGAGAGAAGAAATGCGCTCCAGCGCTCGCCCAGTGTGTCGTCTGCTCCGTCGAGTGGGCTGTACCTAGCATCCGGCTGGCATTCAAACTTGGTTTAAAATCGCATCATTTTGGAAATTTCAAGTGCAGAGGCGCGGATTTTGATATGCAAGTTATTGTGTAATGCTATGCTCCATAGAAAGACTAGCCGAGTCTAATTGTGATAATACCTGTGTGCGGACAAAAGAAAAACTGTTTCAGAGTGGCCGGTCGCTCTGGTGAAAAGTAAATCTGGTTGCTGTAGCTTTTGTACTATAGACCAACACGCGGCCCTGACGTCACGCAGCTGCGGTGGCGCAGTCGACGGCACTGCGCATGCGCAGACGAATCACTCCACATGAATTTGGTTTCAGCGCACGCGCAGTGCCCACACCTGGTGTGGGCAAACGCGGGCTTGTTTGTAAACAGCGTGTCGGTCTATACAAAGTTCCTACTGGTGTAGGCCCTAAGTGACAATGAGTGGAAGTTTGGGATAATAAATGAAAACGTGCTCTCCTTACGGATTACACGCAATGGTAGAGCGTAGTACTGCTAGCTGACTCCACTGCTACTAAAGTAACGGAACAAAGATAAGCTAGTTGGTCATTTGTTGAAATAAAAGAGCAGAGCTCTAAAGGCCAACTTTGGAGTAGTCCTAAATATTTTAAGAACGCGAACAACTTTACAACGACAGCCACGAGTGCGAGTTTGATACCGCCCGCCGGTACAGCCCAAAGATGGAGAGCGCCAACCTCCCGGATTGTCGTCTGCTAACAAAATCGGGCACGTGCCTTCTCTCGTTTTACACCGCCGAACCTGCTGAACCTCCTGGATGTGTGGAGAGGGCGCTGCGGTCGAACAAAATGGGGCCACTCTGAGAGCGCTAAACAGAATGGTGTATACACTGCTCTTGATCTTCAAGACTGTTGCCAGACTAGAAGATTAGAGAAATATAATCAAACAGACTATTAAAAACAAATCTTATGTGGTTCGTTGCCTGCAAGCAACACTCGTCAACAAAGGGTTAAAAGCCTGGTGATATCGCACGCTGCCTGGTGATTAGTTAGAAGGGGTGGGAGGAATCATGTTTGTCATTTGAGACTTGGGCTAAGTTGCGCAAGCTACCGCCCGTTACAAAAGGTATAGCCAGTAACATCCATCCCTCCTTGCAGCCACTTTTAATTGGCATCAGCCCCAAAGTACTTGCTGAGTGATGGAGGGTATCACAAGGCACCCGTAGATGGTAGTTTTAGGAGCAAAATGTAAACTGGAAAAGTAATGTTTTGATATTTCCCTCCCTATTTAAACTAATTAGGTGCAGTTTATACTTTAATGGCGGTGCCCTCACACTGCTGGAGTCCTATACGCCTATCGAGCCCTCGTCACCAGGTAAAAAAGTGCCGAGTTGCTGGGCTGTGAACGCATGCGCAGTGATGTGATTGGTCGGAGTCATTTTGGAGCAGCTGAAAGTTCATTTGAAGCAGCGAAAAAAGGGACTGTCCAAATGGGGCACTTCAAGCACGCGTGAAGCAACAATTCTCCGCCATATGAAGTGTGGCCCTCCGCTTCCGTCAGTCTTTTTGGCCGGGGGGAATGCTTTCCTCTGCCACGTCTGCTTGTGTTCTTCACAGAGGCCTAGGGCATGCAGAGCCGTATATGTAGAGAGTTTGGCCATTCGTTGGGAAGTATAGGAGACAAATGAAGCGGCGCCATTGGCCGAAAGCGGGCTGGGCGTGTTCCAGGGCGTCTTCAGAAATTCGAATGTGACCAACCAGAAGCCGGAAATAATACCCTGGCGGTGGTCGCGAGAAACAAACCTGATAACTGCATTAGAGTAACTCTCGATGGCTGAAAATATGGTACACGTGATGTTTCAATCACACTCATCTAAAATGATGGTGGAAGAGTGCGACTAGCGGAAAGATCGACATAATCCTTACGCCAAACGCCGAGCGCCGGGAATCTGCCGTCAGAGCGGTCACACTCTGTCCGCGCAAAACAGAGTTGAGCGGCGCATTCGTTTCTTACATCTTTCTGCAAGATCATGATGAAACAACACGTGAACCCTATTTTCAACCACAAAGAGTTACTACACTTCACTCTTACGCACTTATTAAAACCATATACGAACAGAGACCTTCGATGATCGATCGGCTCAGAACTGTTTCTCGCTACCACCGCTAGGGGATTCTTTTCGGCTTCTGGTTGGTCAAGAGAGCATGCCAAGCCCTCTTTCCGAGTCTGCCGCACGCCCTGGCTCTTCCCGCGCCTCCCATTGACCAAACTCTCTACATATACGGCTCTGAGGGCATGCTCATCATGTGGGTATGGACATCCAGTCATATGATCTGTTGGCTGTCAGTGAATCGCTCAAGGCCTCTGCTGCTGTTTGAGTCCAAAAAACGGGAAAGGGCGTGGCAGAACAGATGGACGGGCAACAGGCACACCAGTGGCAGGTGGCGTCAAGCCTGACGACCACTGAGGTCACAGAAAAGCGGAGGGGGCAAGGAGGTAAGCCGTGATGTTTGACTGGTGAATGTACAAACAGAAGACTGACTGCCAGACAACTTGCACTTCGTACGGCAGAGAAGTGTCGCCTCACGCGTTCTGAAGTGTCCTGTTTGGACAGCCCTTAAGCACACATTATATTTCCCCTCGTACCACTGTGAATATTATGTTAAGATTTGTGTGTTGACCTGTCGAACTAGCAGACAATGTTTACTTTGCCTTCCCACTTTTGTGAAATCTTTTGTTAGCGTTGGTTGCACGGTAGGTTTGATCCCCTCGAACACGGAACAAGCTGCTTAGTTGTGCGTAGAAGCAAAAAACACGGCAACATTAATCCAATTGATGAATGTCAGTATCAACTGCAGTACATAGTTATTTTCGGTACAGAATCAAGGATATTTCACTGAAATAATGTTAAAAAAGAATAATGTAGTGCATCCATATGATGTTCTCTTCAAATTATAACAGTTCTAATAAAATTGAAATTCCCCCCCCCCCCCCCCCCCCCCCCCAAAAAAAAAAATATATATATATTTTTGTTTTATTGTGGACACTGATAACACAGCTTCAAATCAGTCTATAAAATTGGGGCAATACTCAATTAACCTTTCTAAATCTCGAATTTGAAAAGGTATTGTCAGAATATTGCAGTTCAATATAATATACATAATACTTGCAGCTTTATTAAGAAATCGCGAGTCACGCGCCACCTTGGAAGGGTGCTTCCTTCTCGGAACGCGGCGGGTGAGCTGTGGCGAATCAAGTTACGCATAATCGCAATGCCCGTTTCGCGGTTGTCGCTTCACTGCAGCGCACCTGTGCAAGGTGTGAAGTGCACTCACCGATGCCAGCTAAATTGGCAGAACAAACCATGCATGTGACAAATATTGCAAAACGTTTCAGAGTATTGTCGGTGATTGATAGAAACGATTAGTACAATATGTGACGTTATAATCGAAAGTTCTGAAAATTTGCACAAGCCTACCATATAAATCTGGCCGTATAACAGGGCCCTAGCTATTATATTTTAAGTACTTTAAAAGAACCACGAGATTTATTTTAAATTCTGCGTGCAAAGTCCATGACGCCACGGAATGGTCATACACTCTCACCACCTCAACGTGACTGCCAAGCCAGTCCACTCTCCTCCACGTGCTTGAAATGCCGAGAAAACAAGTGGAAAGGAGGTGGCTACCAACTAAATCACGTCTCGCGCCGTCAATACTGATCTAAAAAACAATTTTGTTTTTGTAAAATTCATTTTTTGACACAAGTGTCCCCACCAGACTGTTTAAAAAAAATTTTTTTTTCTTTTCAGTGGCCCTTTAAGTGACATTGACTTTGGGCGGAATGTTGCTGCAAATCCCTCAAATTTTAGCAAAATGTAGCAAGCAGGGTTACCATTTTGGAGAGTTTGGCACAGCAATAACATTAGGGAGTCTTAGAATAGCGCACGCCAAAGCTTTGCGCACGCAAAGAATAATGCCGTCACCCTAACGCATGCGCCGACCGCCAACCACGTTTTGCGCTTTGCAGGCGCCGTTTTTCGGAAATTGCTTGCGTAGAAAAAGACTCTTTGCGTTCCTTTAAGAAGTATTCGTGATGAGAAGTTGGCTCAAGCCAAGACGAGCAGTTAAAGAATTGCGGCTCCCAGAATCGTATCTGCAGCCGCTTTGGCAGAGTTGTGAGTGCGACGTCATGGCATCCTCGCGACTGCGATTTTCAATACGAGACGACATCGCACTCGATATGCCAACGATCACTGGCATCCTGGTGCTTGCGACGCACAAACATTTCTCGGCGAAGGCATGACGTGCAAAGGCGAGTACACGAGACCTCTTGCCGAGGCGAAGCAAGCGGACACGACTGGTCAACCGCTCGCGTCGCTTTCTCCTGTTTCAAAAGATCTAAAATGTTACTCTGGACCAAAAACTTGTTTTTTTCTCAAGTTGCAGCATTTCGTGTGTGAAATAAAAAGTGTTACTGTATCTTTGTGGCGTTGAAAGTGCGGGATGCTTGGGCTTTTCCGTCGCGGCAGAGTCGCGCTATTCTAAAACTCTCTCGCGTAGTGTGCCCTAACGCAGGTGCTAAATATAGCAATAGCGTGCGCTAGTATTGCGTATGTTAAGCTAAAGCTTTCTATTACTAAATGCGTGGCACCCGAGAATCTGCAGAAGGAAGATACTGCAAGTGCTTGGTTCCACAGCACACTAGATGGCTGCAAGAAGGCAGTTAGTGCAATAGTTAATGAATGAACAAGGTCTCCTATAAAAATTAAACCTAAGTGCAGCCCGGCTACACCTGGTCGAGGTTACTTAAAAATCCTCTTGCTATACCTTGCAACCTTCGGTAACAATTCAATCTTGTGGGCATGCCCAGCCAAAGCGCGATGGAATCCACCAAGTGCTTGCTGGAGGTGGAGCTTCAGTCTAATTCTTATTACTTTGAACATTTCTCTGCAAAGAAGGGCTGTCACATCGAAGTCCACAAAGTTCCCGTTTTATTTTTTCTTCCAAATAAAACATTTTCACTCAATCGGTCAACCAATTATCCGACTAATGGACGTGCACCATCCCAGTCTGGAAGAGAACTTCCCCTCCCCACGGCACAAGGCTGCGCTACAGCGAAGTCTACAAAGCCTGCTCCATGTTTGTCGCTTCTCCGCAGCGCACTAGCGTGTGGCGGGAAGTGCACTCTACAAAGGAACTGACCCGTCCAAACAGTTTACAAACAATAAGATATATCACGGAGTTTCAAGTACTCTCGGCGTTTGAACGAAGGTTGAATCAAACAGTATGTTATTGAAAGTAATAATCAAAAGCTCTTTCAATTTGTAATGTAATGTAATTCAACTGTAATGATCGGGCAACACAATGGGGCCCAAGCTTCAGTACTGAGAACATGAGATGAACTTTTGGTGCAATGTTCGCACAAATTCCATACGCTTTGGAAAAACGCAGCGAAGTCTAGCGGGGGAAGTACTTTGGTGTAGCAGTCACTGAATTAAACATACTGCATCCAAGCGCAACTTTATTTTTATGGAACATAGTCGTACAAAAAGAGCCAATGAGCGCTTCCAAGTTGTTGGGGGTCGTTCGGAGCGCGATATGCAAATGGTCAATCACCCAAACCAAAAGATTTTCGAAAAAAAAAAAAAATTATAACAACTCAACGAAACATTTTAACAACAGACAACTTATGATATTGGTTCCTGGCAGCAGCGATGCTCAGTGCTTTCGAATGGCGGCGTCGATGTCATCGATGTGACCTTTCAACGCGTTCCACTGGTCCAGCTGTAAGCAGATGCCTGCAACGAGAATCAAGAGACGTGACGCAAGATAAGCATACAACTTTCTCGAAGCCGTCATACAGATGAATCGACTCACAATGAACACGAAGCGCCAAAAAAAGGTTTTCTTAGAAGCGATAAGGTAGGACACATGTCACCAAATAAACTTTTAACGAAAAATGAACATTTTTAGCACGTTGGACACTACCCAGAAAAGTCAACTTCTGTACCGCTTGCTTGATTTTAATCAAATTTACAGTGGAAGTTTGAGTGGCAAGCCCATCCCTGCCAAATTTCATTGTTCTATGTCAATTCTAAAACTTGTTATGAATGTTACAATATAGAAGTCAGTGTGTTTGCTTAGGAAAACTGTCGTTTTAAAATAAACAAGAAATTGATTTTTATGTGTGATATAGTCATAGGAGTACCCATAGCACATATCCGGCTAGTTATTTTGCTATATTGCATTGTTTTTCGTAAGTATAACTTCGTAAGATTACTTTTTTTTTTTCATGTCTGCTCTCTTTTCTAAATGTAGTTTTTTTAGCATAAAAGAATGTTAAAATAGAAAAACTAACCAGCCAAGCATGTTCCTTCCGAAAGGCTATCCCAGAAAACCACCTAAAAATAATTTTCTATTGTGCAATAGGAGAACAATAGTTTTCCTAAAGTGAAATTTATGCCGAAAGGTGGAACGGAGAAAAACGCATTCTAAGTGATACAGTCCCTACCCTTTCTTTAGCATCAGTGGACCAAAAATAATTTATAAAAAATTAACTATGCAGCGTAAACTAATGAAACTTTCTGGGAATACTCTTTAGATGTTGGTGGCAATTTATTATGGTGTCGGAATACTACCCAATTAATATTTTGCTACAGTCACATATTTTTTAAATAAAGCCAAAAAATGCAACTGCTCGAAACAAACTCTCGCACCGCACGGAGAAGGGGAGAGGATAGAGTGAGTGGTGGAAGACGTGTGGCTACACCAAACCATGCATTCTTGTTTTTTTTTTCTCCGCACGTAGCAGACGAAATGCGTTGCGGGATCCGTTCGCCGTGCGATATTTTGCAGTTATGTTTGTTCCGCTCGCTGTTCGGTACTTCAAGATGAGTTGTTTTGTACATTTACATGTTGGCAATTAGTAGTGAGTGCCCGTGGTGAATTCCCGTGATCGGCTCCGAAAAGAATACTCCCAAGATGTTGCGTATGTCCTGCATCTGAAAGGGGCATTGTGCGGCAGCGTGCACAAGTTTCCGAAAGATCAACGGGTCGGGATCAATGGCTGGCTGAAATTCCTGTAGAACAGTTACGCGAAGCTCGGAAAGCGGACGCTACCCGATTCATATGCTCCTTGCATTTTGTGGAAAAGGACTACATTGAGTTTGCAGGTGTCAAAAATGGAATCCCATACCATTTAGTTCAGCGACGTATCGTCCACAACAACTGTTTTTTTCAGTGATAATTGTAAAAAAAGAAATATAAACATAGCAAAATGCTTGACAAAAAAAAAAAAGAAAAAGAATGGTACACCCACACCAGGGATGAACCCGTGCCCGCTGCGTGTGAAGTGGACGTCTTTCCACTGAGCTACTCAAAGAACTCCTTCATGCATAGTAATGCAGCAGGTCGACTGTATGTCGGAAGTTTGCTGCCGATTTTCCTTCAATACATGCGCTCCTGGCTTGAAGTCGGGCAGCACCACGCATAGGCCACATTTGCACCTCGTAAAGAAACCGTACGCGTGCGTATTCAACTTGAAGTACGCACTTCGTGCTTGACGTTTCAGCGAGCGATGTCTTCGGCCACGAGAAGGGACGACGGTTCAACGACGTCTTCGTGCAATCGGCTTGCTGGTCCAGCGTGTCGTATGGGACGAATATCAGTTCTTTTGATCGGTCCAAAATTTCTCTTTCCAAGGAAGACAGAATTCGTCGGTACCGTGAACGGCAGTTCTGAAGTAGAGGTCCAACGTTCGTCATCCGCTGCCATTCGCTGGTCTCCATCTTACGATACGCAAAACGACGCCATGTTGAGAATTATGCAGTAAACGCACAGAATGCTTCCGGTTGTCTGTACTACCTTTTTTTTTTCAATCAACGTATTTGCAGCCTTTTGGAAGCCACAAAGAATGGGCTTCATATTTTTTTTTATTTTTAATATTGACTGTATGCCTTCAATGACGCACGACTCTGATTAAATTTGGTTTGAATGGCTTTGTTTGGAATTTGGAAAAATGGCTTTGAAACCTTAGAACAATGGTTCTCAAATGGGGGTCCGCAAAGATATTTTAGGGGTCCGCAAAGTTAGTCAACCTGGCAATGAAAATTGTCTTTTTTTCAGGTCGTGAAGAAATGTTTCAGATTGAGGGCGAGTTTTCTCGTGTGTATACGTCACTAACAGAGGACTACTTCACACTAGCCCTTAGGTATATCCATTTATTAAATCATTATCCTAATTAACCTATACCTTTCCCCTCCCCTCACCACGAATGGGGTCCTCCATCATCTCCGCTGATCCACAAAGGGTCCGCGAAACATCGATGGTTGAGAACCACTGCCTTAGAAAATGGCCCGTGACCACGGAAAACAGAATGAGCGCAACTCAAACCGGCCAGTTCTTGATCAGCGCTTTTCGGGCGGAAAGAAACCGAATTTCAAGCCGCAAATTCTGTTCTGGGTAGTTAGGCTCCCATATGTCACATACAACTAAAAACCACAGCGAGCATAAATACCCTGTCAGTGTCCCTTTAAAGGCCGACGACCAGTTCGCGCTCTCCACTTTCCCCCCGCTTCCTCCTCTCCCCCCTTCTACCCTGTCTACCATTGGCTGTTTCCTCTTCCCCTATGGTGAGGAGGATGTTCTGACTTGCAGAATCTCGGGTCTGGTCGTCGGCCTTTAAGTCATGAGACACTACTTTAAGTTTGGAGCGAAGTTGACAACTTGCTTCTAATATAAGTGCACCTTCTTAGCTTCCATTGGCTGAAAAGATGGTCCACATTTGCAATGTTGCTTATAAACAGCGTTCCGTGAATTCGGAGTTTACCTTTGGACAAATTCGGACGGTGCTTTTTTAGTCAATTTTTACCTCAAATTTAATTTTTTTCGGAACTTTCATTTGTAAGTTTACGAAAATTTCGAGGATTTGGATGTTTATTGTCTTAAGCCTATATGGAAAACAACAGTCGACAAAATTATTGAAACAAAGTGTTCATAGACAACGCAATAAAAACCGAGCCCGTACCGCCTCGTCTAAATGAATTTGTCGAAAATAGGTGCACGCAGTTAATTAAATACGGTCGTCTGTCTCGAGACGAGGTCTCTTCAGCTGGATGCGCCGATTAGAACTGCGGTCATTTGACGATCATACTGGGATGCGGCTTGCGGGCAACCTGGGGATCCAAAGCGTCGACCCAGGCTGCTCATCCGCCAAATCGTCAATAGTCATTTTCACCGCGAGGGGGCCAAGGGCAACTGGCCACCTGAGCAGCGCTCCGCCGCCGATAAAAGGCCGTCGCAGCGCACCCGCGAGGGCTCTTGGGAACACGGCGTGGGTGATAACGAAGTAAATGACCGCGTGTTGTTGAACCAGTGCGGTGTGTCATTCTCCAAGACGGGTAACAGCAAGGGAATTCCCTAAAGGCTTGACCGATGAAAGCTGCAAACAATTTCCTCAAATTCTCCTCTGTAGCGCGACACGGTAGCGCAAGCAAAGTATGATGTAGGCATATGGCTCGAAACCTAAAAGCCGACCGCAGGGTAATAGATTGATGCTATACTCCATTTCACACCCAATATACAGTGCCGTCAAAGCTGCTGGCGTGAGCATGGGGTTTGTTTTCGTTGATCATTTGCACGCGTTCTCGCGCAAATGAAACCATAGATGAAGCCAAGAGCTCGTGCCAGTAGCTTTGACAGCGTTGCATATTAAGTATGAAACGGAGTATAGAGCTCAATGGAGGTCGGCCATCTTACGAGCATCTGAGCGCAATATTGCCGCGTGGATGGCTGAGAGGAAACGCTTTCCCATACTTCTATAAGATTTGCCTTTACTCTTAACCAGTGTAGGAGATAAGGAGGCTGCCTTGGCCTTGCTGACGCAGTCCCGCCCCAGTGCGTCGTGAGCGACGCAACTACCTGCGGCAAAGTTCTTTTCGAAGGCAATGTTCACCTGCTTCTAAGAGGAACAGGCGTTGCAAGGGGCCTAACAGAGCTACAGGATGGACGCACTGCAATCCTCGTGACGAAATTTCAACAGGAGACGCAGCATCTCACAAAAGCATACCTGCCAACCTGTGGACTTTCAAATTCGTAAAAGTCGCGGCTGCAGGGGGGGGGGTTACGCGAAGCGATGTGCAGCTTAATGTCAGCCTGGCCAGCGTGCGAAACGCTTACATCACACGTGCACGTGCTACACAATCCAAACTTCTCTCGCTTTTTGGGTGGCACGAAGCACGAAAATTTCGACGTGTAGGGCTTTAGGAACACCTGAAAGTACCTCTTTTGAGGTTTCGAGTTCGGCAGTGCGTCGCGAAGCCACAGTGACCAGGAGAATGCTACAGTTACACGTGCAACAAACACAGACGCCGTACTTCTCGCCTCAAACTGGCCGAAACAACGAGGCCCAACAACGTCTGAACACGCCGAACCAACGTGCACGTGTGCACCACCGAACACACGAACAAAGGCTTTGAGCTTTGGATTGCTTTTCGATCCGTGGCCACCGGATAGACGGATAGTAAAAACCACGACGCTGCTGTGGACGGTACCTATCGCTCTCTAGTGGCGGTGCAAGATACCGCCAACAACGGAGTTACAAAAAAAAAAAATATATATATATATATATGTATATTTCGTAAAATTTTAAGCAAGATTCGTAAAATCGTAAAATTAGTTCCAATTCGTACATTTTACGAAAAATTCGGAAGAGTTGGCAGGTATGCAAAAGGTGCCACGGTATGTCACGTCAAGGAGCTCCACAACACCGCTGCGGTCACAGCGACTTCTCAAGAAACCT